TATATATATATATATATATATATATAAGAAAATCAGAAGATTAATCCTGAAGGTCCAACAGATAAAATAGAGGGGAGAAAATTATTAAAGAAATAATACAAGAAAAATTTCCAGAACTTAAGGACACTACTTAGCTCAGCAGTGAAGAGTTTGTCCATATTCACTATTGAGTTAACTACAAATTTTATGTTCTTATTGGAAGGATGGAAGGAGGAGAAGTGGGGATGGTCTGTAGGAAAGCTCAGTCCTCATCTATGACAAGAAGTCAACAGATGTCTAAAACTGGTAAATCAAAAATAATAATATAAATACAAATAGGTACCAAAAAAGGGTTGAAAGAGACTACCTCTAGAGAGGGGGACTGAGAAAGGTGGGGAGGGAATTTTTATTATGAGCCTCTCAGTATAACTGATAATTAAACCATATGTGTGCATTACTTTGATAAATTTGATAAAACAGAAATTAATTTAAAATGGGTATGATAATAAATTGCAATGTGAGAGTATTAAATTTAATTATTTGGAAAATTCACTTATGCAGAAGAGCCATGCCCCAAGAATGCTCAATGAACTGGAATGTGTGGGCATAAGACTCATTAATGTGGAAAGTTTCTCCTGATGTCACTGTGGTAAGGCAGTTGGGTGGAGATGGGACCCGGGCACAGCAGCCCTTGGGTGGTCAACGGCTCCCTTTTCCAGCAGGGTATATCTGCTTGGGAGACCCTGCTCTTGGATATGGATCCTACTGGACTGCCAAAGAAGAGAGGTGCTAATCCTTTTAGAATGACTTCTGGGAATTCACTAGGTTTCCCTGCCTTTCCTACTCAGGACACAGACAAAATGCTAGGTTTACTGAAGTTGGGTGAGGATCCAGGCCCAGGGCTAGAGCTACAGGACCCCTCTCCAGATGTGCCAGAGTCAGGTTGTCTCAGCAGCAGAAGGAGGTTGCACATATTTACTGTCAGCTGAAGCTGAGACCTGGGGCTCCCCCAGGAGGGTCACGGGTGGAGAACTGGGGGGGAGATGACACACATGCTTGCTGGGGCTCCTAGCATCCCCTCTGAGGTGCATCTCCTTAAGCAGCTGCCCTGAGGCCTGACTTCCCTGTTTTCCTTTTTCTTCATCCATCACCCTTCCTCTTCTCTCTCCTCCTTCCCTCTACCTCAGTCTCCAAAGCTCTGCCCAAGAGCCACTGAGCTGGCTTGCCTGCCTAATGTGCAGCAGTGTTTTGTTTCTTAACCTTTTCAATTGTTACTTAATTAAAAAAAAAAATCATACCATCATTATGTAAGTAGTACTACATATTTTCCTTGCAGAAAAATAAGAAAATATTGAAAATCACCCATGATTCTACCAGCCAAAACCAACCATTGTTGGTCTATGAATTTCCAGAATATTTCCAGGCTTACCACAGGGAAAATACTATCAGTACATGTCCCAGCTGGGCCCCCTTCTGCTGAGCACTCACTGGGCTGAACTCTGGCCTTTAGATGTGTTAATCTCACCAGATCTTCCCAACTTTGTGAGGTAGGTGTTATTATGCTCATTTTACAGACAGGAAACAGGGGCTTAGAGAAATCGCATTACTTGCCTGAGTTCCTGGGTTGGTTAAGAGACTGATCTGGATTTCAACTGTTTGGACTGAGGCCAAAGCTACTTTCTCTGCATGTTTTGTAAGATTTTTCCATTTTTCTTTTTCTTTTTTTAATGATATATCCACATATCTTTCTTCTCAATAAGTATACACCTATGTCATTCTGTCTCATGGCACTCACCTGCATGGATGTGCCAAGTTTGAATAACCAATTCCTTTTTGTTGGGCCTTCAGATGTTTCCCTTTTTTTTTTTTCTATTACAAACAATGCAGTTATAAATATCTTTGTTACATACATCTTTGCACAAATGTGATTTTCCTAGGATAAATTCCAGAAAGTAGCATTGCTTGGTCAAAGGTTAGACACATTTTTAAAAGCTGCCCTTTTCCAATCACATCATCAGTCCATGTTAGTGCACATTCCCCCACATCCATATTCATTGAGTATTTTCACTTTTTAAAATTTAGACTGGGCCGGCCTGTGGCTCACTCGGGAGAGTGCGGTGCTGATAACACCAAGGCCCCGGGTTCGGATCCCATATAGGGATGGCCGGTTTGCTCACTGGGTGAGCGTGGTGCTGACAACACCAAGTCAAGGGTTAAGATCCCTTTACCAGTCATCTTTAAAAAAAAAAAAAAAATTTAGACTGGTATTTAACACAGAATCAGAGAGACCCTATGGTGGAAGGATCCTAATATATTCCTCTTCATCTAGAACTAAACCATCCTTGCTAAAAAATAAATAAAAGCCCTAGACACTCTGCCAAGGCCTGCTGTGACTTCAGTGAGCCAGGAAGAACCTCCAGAGAGAATGAGGAAGGGGAGGCCTGGGGGAGGCAAGGAGGGCAGAGCAGGAAGGCCATGTTGTGGGCCCACCACCGACTGGCTGCGGGGAGACTGCCACGCTGTGGGCCCACCACCCACTGGCTGGGGGGAAGCTGCCATGTTTTCCCAAGGAAAGCACTGTCTAAAAACCTCACAGCCAGCTCTGATGATATTGAGCTGTCCTCACTGTCCCCAGGGCTCACACGCTATCCAGAAAGTCAACACAAGTCCCTCGAGCCTTTATCTAGCTGCCAACACTTTTAGCACCCTGGTCTTCCTTGAATACTTTCCAAGCCCTTTTAAGTTGGGAAATCCCAAAGTAGACATTGTCTTATTGTTCTCTTACCTTGATGTTGTTCTCCTCCAAAAGGCTGCAAACTCTGGCACCTGGAGAAAAAAAAAAGGAAAGTAAATGACTGAGGCAGAGCACTGAGGGTGGCCTTTGAGCAAAATAATCTTATTGTTCTCTTACCTTGATGTTGTTCTCCTCCAAAAGGCTGCAAACTCTGGCACCTGGAGAAAAAAAAAAAGGAAAGTAAATGACTGAGGCAGAGCACTGAGGGTGGCCTTTGAGCAAAATAAGCCTGGATGGAAGTTGAGTCACGAGAGCTCAGCTGTGGTGAGTTCCTCAAAAGCTGCTGAGGTGTGAGTTGGCTGCATGTTGGCCGAGGGCAGATGGAGGTGCCATGGCTTCCACCCAGGGGCATCTCCACTTGGAAGACTTCTTTCTCACTCAGCCTGTTAATGCTCCTATGCTGGCAGAAACTCCAGTCCTCTTTCCACCTTGTCTCAAGGCCTTGTACAGACAGTAGATGGTCCCTTCATTCATTTCCATTGATAGATCCATTAATTAGATATTTATTGATCACCTACTATATGCCAACTGCCCTAGGGCTCTGGGGATAAAGCAGTGAACAAAACAGACAAAAACCTCTGTCCATGGAGCTTGCAGTCCATTGGGGGAGGCCAAGAACTAACAAAATAAGTAAATTAAAAATACAGTAGTCAGAAGTGGTAAGTGTTATAGAGAAAAAATAAAGCAGGAAAGGGGATTAGGGAGTGTTGCGGCAGGAGGTGGAAAGGACTGTAGAAACTCTAAATAGTGTGTCTAGGGAAGCCTGGACATCTGAGAAGGTAGATTATGAACAAAGACCTGAAAGAAGTGAGGACATGAATTCTGAAAATTGATGGGGAAGAAGCTTTCCAGGGAGAGGGAACAGCAAGTACAAAGGCCTGGAGAGCCTGGAATGTTAAAGATCAGTGAGGAGGGTGGGGTGGCCAGAGTAGAATGAATGAGGGGGAAGTAAGAGAGGGGATCAGAGAGGTAGTGAGAGGCTCCAGAGTGTGCAGGGCATAAAAGGAAGGCTCTTGTTGAACTTGGGCTTTGACTCTGAGATGGGAGCCACTGGAGGGTTTTATACAGAGAAGTAACATGGTATGACTCACATTTTAACAGGATCACTCTGTATGCTGTGTTGAGAATAAACTGGGGAGCAAGGATAGGACCAGTTAGGAGGCTACTGCAGAAATCTCAGCAAGAGACAATGGTGGCCTGGACCAAAGCAGTAGCATGGAAGTGTTGAGATGTGGTCAGAATCTAGAAAGTATAGTCAACAGGATTAGCTGATGAATTGGAAGTAAGAGATAAAAAAGAGGAGTCAAGGGAGAATCCCAAGATTTTAGCCTGAGCAACTGGGAGGATGGAATTGCCATTTTCTGAATTGTAGAAGCCTGCAGATGGAGCATGTTTGTGGGGGAGATAAGGCACTCAGTTTTGGACATGTTAAGTGTGAGATGCCTTTTAGACACTCAAGCGGAAAGGCCTGTAGGTAGACGGATATGTGAGTTTGGAGTTCAGGGAAAAAGGTCCAGTCTGGAAATGAAAATCTGTGAGTGTTCAGCACATGTCTCTTTAAGCCATGACATAGCATTAGATCATCAAGAGGGTGATGTCAATAGAAGAGCTGTCCATGAACTCAGCCCCATGCAATTATAGCTCAGCAAAGGAGTCTGAGGAGGACTACAACTACAATAGGAAGGAAAACAAGAAGAAGGGTTTCAAGGAGGATGGAGCAGTACACTGTGGTAGTCAAATAATACGAGGACAGAGAATTAACACTTGGATTTAGCATTTTGGAGTCACAGGTGATCTCGGTCAGGGCAGATTCAGCAGGATGAAGGGGATGCGCACCCGACTGAAGCCCACTCAAAAGTGAAGAGCTGAAGTCCTGAGCTGGGGGGCAGAGTTGGCTGGCAGCAGCAGGGTCAAAGGTGCAAGGGATCATGAGAGAAATTGATCCTACCTTCACTTTCCTCACTTATAAGATGTAAAGCACTTCAACACCTGTAAATGGCAACAGTTGTTACTAACGCTGGGCCAGGTCTTCTGGTTGCTGAATTTCATCCATTTTTGGCCCCTGTTTCTGGCTTCCCATGAAGTTATTCCCATTTTCTCATTGCCACATGTAGATTTAGGATAAATGCTCACAGCTTGGGGCTGCTAAGCAAGTCCTCAGGTTCCTTACAAACTAGGATCTGACTTGGGCCACTTCTCCTGATGGGAATTCAGAGTGCTACGGTGCCTGCCCGCAGGGAGCTTGCCTTCTGGTGCAGGAGACAAATACACCAAGTAAACAGATAAGCAGGAGGGTAATTTCAGATGTGAACAAGTGCTATGAAGATAATAACAGTGGGGTTAAAGATAGTAAGTGTGGAGAAGCCTAACGGTGTGGGAGGCCTCTCTGGAAAATGGCATTTAAGATGAGACTTGGTCAACAATGCTCTGCTACTTCTCCACAAGCCGGCCCCTCCTCCACCATATCAGGCTTTCCCTGTGACATTTACAGTATCTGCATTCCCGGAACAAGGCTGGGGTCTGGGGCCATCTAAGTACAGGGCCAAAAGGAAACACTGTCTCTCTTGTCTCTCTCCAATATACACAGTGGAAATTTTTTCTCTATGATCGCAAAAGACATGCATTTTCACCAAAGGAAATTTGGAAATATTTAAAACAGAAGAAAACGTACAAGTCTACTACCCAGAGATAACTATGATTAACATCTGGTATGCACCCTTCCAGACATTTTCTATGCATATATAAACATATTTTTAAAAAATGAGATCATGTACATTGTGAGAAATTTGGAAATATTTAAAACAGAAGAAAACGTACAAGTCTACTACCCAGAGATAACTATGATTAACATCTGGTATGCACCTTTCCAGACATTTTCTATGCATATATAAACATATTTTTAAAAAATGAGATCATGTACATTGTGTTTTATGACCTGAATTTTGATTAAATCTGTTATAAAGCACTCTTTACATGTCATTAATTTTCTTCTACCTGATGATTTTTAATGGCTGCAGAGTATTTCATTACATGTAGATTTTCACCATATTTTATTTAATCTCCAAACTTTGACCATTTATTGTTTCCAGTTATTGCTACTATGAGTAAATGTTTTAATGAATGATCCTGTGTCTTTTTCCTGGGGGTGGGAGGGGTGTTTGCAAATCTCTCATTGTTTACTTGGGTTAAAAGAAAATGTCAGTACCACAGCCACCACAATAGCACGCTGCCACAAAAGCGGCTAGACTCCACAACCACCATGCAGATGGCCTGCCAGCTGCTTGAGTGCATTGACACAGGAAGAGTCACCAGTGGGCACCAAAGAAAAGAAGAGGATGTCTCTCTCTACAAAGCCCACTCCAGAGTGATAGAAGAAGCATCTACTCTATGATAATAGTGGGGGACCTGAACACACCTCTCTCAGCATTGGACAGATCATCCAGGCAACAAATCAACAGAGTAACCGTTACTCTTTCAGAAGGAGATAAGAAATCTAGGGTTATCAGAGGTAGGAGGGGGGAGAGAGAGGGAGATTGGATAAGGGGCATAAAGAATAAGTATGATTTGTAATAATACATATGCTAATAATGTTGATTTGATCAACATATGTCAACGCTGAACCCCCAAAATGTGTATAATCAATTACGATTCAAGAAAAAAAGAAAATGTCACTAGTGGCAGCCTGAGGCTGAGGTCATGGGAGGGCAAGAACTGAGCCCCAAACCCAAGGAGCCACTCAGATGCCAAAGTCTGACAAAATCCTCCCACATAACCTGTTCTCGTGTTTTCCTCCCTTGAGGGCCTGAGAAGTAGGAAAACAATAGGCCCCTCCCATAAACCCAGTGAAATCCAAGGGGATTCCCAACCTCTGCCAAGAAGAGGATGTCACTCTCTCTCCCCAGGAAAGAGACCATCCCCATCCTCCCTTAAAATCCCCTTGGGGAAGCTCCTCCCTCCCTTGCTCCCTCCCTGGGGAAAACATTGGAGTGGTCAGGCATTCAACCTGT